AAACACGAAAAACCTTACTTTGTTTGGACAATGCTATCTGGTTTTCTGGCACTATCCCTACCTCCTGGAAAGAAGCTATTATTATTCCCATTTTGAAAGAGGGCAAGGACCCTTCTTTAGCTTCAAGTTATAGGCCTGTTGCACTTACAAGCTGCTTGTGCAAAGTCTTAGAAAAAGTGATAAACTGCCGACTTGTACATATCCTTGAAAGAAACAATTTGCTCGACCCATTTCAGTGCGGGTTTCGAGAAAGTAGATCCACCACAGACCACCTTGTTCGTATCGAGGCACAGATCAGAGACGCCTTCGTCCATAAACAATATTTTCTCTCTGTGTTCCTCGATATCGAAAAGGCTTATGATGCAACATGGCGTTTTAGAATTCTAAGAGACCTGTCCCACCTTGGTGTGCGCGGAAGAATGTTTCACATAATCGAAAGTTACCTGTCAAACCGGACATTCCGTGTCCGTGTGGGCAGTGTTCTCTCCCAAACATTTGTCCAGGAAACAGGCGTGCCACAAGGTGGTGTACTTAGCTGCACACTTTTTCTCATAAAAATGAATTCCTTGCGCTTGACCATCCCTCGCAATATGTTTTATTGCACATATGTCGACGACGTCCAGCTTGGCTTTAGGTCTTGCAATCTGGCATTGTGTGAGCGGCAGGTTCAGCTGGGTTTAAACAAGGTCTCTAAATGGGCAGATGAAAACGTATTTCGACTTAACCCACAAAAAAGCACGTGTGTCTTGTTCTCTCGAAAGAGAGGCATGCACTCGGAACCTGACATTCGACTGAATGGGCAACGTCTGTCTGTCAAAGCCGAGCATAAATTCTTAGGCTTAATCTTGGACAATAAGTTGACCTTCGTACCGCACATCAAGTATTTAAAAACAAAATGTTTAAAAGCCATGAATGTTATAAAAGTTTTGTCACGTACTACTTGGGGTAGTGATGGGCAATGCCTCGTGAATCTGTATCGAAGCCTCATTTGCACCCCCTTAGATTATGGGGCCATTGTTTATCAGTCTGCAACTCAAAGTGCTTTGAAGATGCTGGACCCCGTGCACCATTTGGGCATCCGCCTTTCTACGGGTGCTTTTCGCACAAGCCCTGTAGAAAGCCTTTACGTTGAGTCAAATGAATGGTCGCTTCATCTACAGAGAACTTACATGTCCTTTGTATATTTTCTTAAGGTGAAAGCAGACAAGAAGCACCCCTCATACTCTACTATTAATGATCTGTCGAGCTCCATTCTGTTTCAAAACAGGCCTTTGATGAGGCAGCCCTTCTCAGTTCACCTGAAGGGTCTAGCTGAAGAAACTGGAGTGTCACTTGAACACAGTTTAATGGCTCCTGTAGCATACCCACCACTGTGGCAGTGGCAGACTATAGACTGCGATGTGTCTTTCCTAGAAGTTTCAAAACATGCACCTATTGCTCATATCCGAACATACTTCCTGGAACTTCAACACAAATACACACGTCCTGAGTTCTTTACAAATGCCTCTAAGTCTAACTCCTCTGTGTCCTACGCTGCTGTCGGCCCATTCTTTTCGGATGCTGGCCCTCTACATCCAGGCACAAGTATCTTCACAGCGGAAGCTTACGCGATACTTGTGGCAGCTAAGCACATTAAACAATTACAAATACAAAAAGCAGTAATTTATACAGACTCCCTCAGTGTGGTAACGGCTCTGCACAGTCTTAAAAAACAAAAAAACTTGGTCCTTGTCTCACTTTACTCCATTTTATGCACACTCTACACACTCAAACAACATGTTGTAGTGTGCTGGGTGCCAGGGCACTAAGAGATCCAAGGCAACGTGAGGGCGGATCAGCTCGCTGCATCCGTCCACAAAAGCACTGCCCCTACACCCATATTAATCCCGGCCCTTGATCTTAAGCCGTCTCTCAAATGAAACCTCAGGGGCTACTGGCAGAGCAAGTGGGATACACACACACAAAACAAACTACACATTATTAAGCCACACCTTGGTCATTGGCTGACAGTATCAAAATCGCGTCATACAGAGGTAATACTAACGAGACTCAGGACACACATACACGACAGACACATATCTTTTGTCCAGTGGCGATCCACCATTGTGTGACAGATGTGGTGAAGCATTAACAGTCCTTCACATGTTAATTCAGTGCAAACACTTAGAAACTCCAAGAAAACAGCATTTTCCATTACCCTACCGACAACATATACCTTTACACCCTGCAATGTTCGTTGGTAGGGAACCGCTTTTTAGTCATAAATCATTGTTAGAGTTTTTAAAAGAAATTCATAATTTTCATATCATATACCCGGGCATTCCGTAGCACGACCTCTCCAGAGAGGTTTTTGCTGCGGTGGCTACGCAGGAAAGCACTTGCCTCACGGCCCTTGGACGCAAGGGTATGAACGAGTGAGGTACTTGTGCTAATGCCATACATGTCCACCATCGTTTTACATTATCACCAACTTTTGTCACCTATTCACACCACACACACCTTTCACGGCATGGTCATGATTTTATTACTTGTATGTTTTTACCCGCCTTACTGCGAGGAATTTTATGGCCCTTATACAGCTGCTAATCACAATCATTATCCACATTCCTTGTCCCATGAACTGGTGCTCTTTGGCCATCAAATGGCCCTTGCGTCAAAAAACACCATATATCATCATCATCACAGTGTGGCTTCTGGTTGTTTGCAGTTTCTGTTCCATAAAAATGTTCTATTTTCTGATTCTGGTCTTGGCGTTGAAACTGAATGTGGCTTTTTCGATTACACTAAGGCATTTGACATTGTTCCACATGACTCACTCACTTGGAAGTTTAACCTGCTTCATATTCATCCACTTATTTTTAATTGCATATAGATTGCAGTTGAACTCAATATGTTGTTCACAACCGCACATCCGCTACCTCTGCGATAACTTCTGGTGTTTCTCTGGGATCGATGTAGGTCTCATCAGCTTTTTTTTTATTTGTATTAGTGATGGTGTATTTCTTGCTGTTAGATTGCAGACTGTCTACTTTATGTCATTAGCACAATTATTAGCCAGAGCCTTAAAAGATTTGAGTTATGTATCACTGGGGTGTAATGACTGGCTCATTTTGCCACTAAATGTAAAAGCATGCTTGTTTCCTGGCAGGTTTAAAAGATCGATTGTGCATATCATGCATTGATATTATTAATGGTGCCCCTTTCATCTACATATTTGGCCTTCATATTTATCTCTGTGAAGAAAAGTGTACATCGATGAGATTGCCATTCATCAAAGCCCTAATATGAAATCTGCATGCACCATTTCAGATTGCAATTAAAATAGCCATTTGGCAGGGTTGCCACTGACCTTTGAGTGAAATTCACTAAAGGCTAGCGAAAAGTTGGCAAAAGTCGCCATTTTTGTTCAAAATTTGCCAAAAAGGTCGCCACGGTAAATATGTGCGGCATGCTTAGTGATGAAAATTCCGAATTATGTATAGCTACGTGGAGCACGGTTCGATCCGTATACCCTAAATTATAACAGATGTTTTTTATTGCTAGTCACATCGCCCGCTTCACCGTGGGAGCACTGAGAAAGGGCATGAATGCACTAGCAGCGTCCCTGAATGCTAGCGCCTCATAACAAAAGTTTGTGATTGTTTCAGCTGTAGCGGATACAGGATGAAGCAGTCGCTACAACAAGTGAGGGACACCCTGCGTAGCCCTTCTGCAGATTTCAAGAACATCGCTACAGTGGAATCATAAGTCTGATAATTCAATAACTTAATTGGAAAGCAACAGAACTGAGTTCGAAAATGACTGAGTAACCATCGCAATGCCAGCACCACACTTTCTGTGTGGTCATGCTTACGCTATACATTCAACTCATTGTAGTTTCTGAAGGCTGGCCAAATAAGGCCAACTTCTTAGCCCACCCGGAAAGTATGGTAATAACAAATTTGAATTTAACATACCAAATTAAGGGGTACTGCAGTAAAGAAGTCGACAAGCTGTTCTCGACAGCTGGAGCTGCGATCCGAACACGCGGCCTGTCACCTAGCCACTTCACCAATGCAAAACTTTGAAGATGCTTTTAGGTGCTTGTAGGGCCTAAAAAACGTAGTATAATACCGCCGCTTCACAACATGCACAGCACTCCACTGACCTAAATTGCTGGGAGGTTGCTGGCAGACACGCCAGTGCCTCCAGGATATAGGTGAATTGAGCAGATACACACGAGAAACAGGACATACTGAATTGTGCGTAAAGTGCGCCTTCTACTGGTGGATGTAAAACTAAGAAAAATAGAAAAAATGTTGTCACTTATACATTTTGAAGACACTATGTATAGAATGCATAACTCAGTCAAGATCTAAACCGAAAATCGCCAAAAATGTGCCATGTCACGATTCATATTATTAGGTCACCATGGGCCTCTCGAATTCGCCAGTTGGGAAAAATATCCACCTGTGGCAACCCTGCCATTGTCCTACGCTCAAGCGCCCTGAAAGCACTTTATTTGGATATAATTGTGAACCATGCTCTTTTAATATTGTCTTGGCTGTGTTTTGCCGGTAGGCATTCGTATTCTAGGTTAAATAATCCATTTATACGTCTTAAACGTTGAAGGAAAAGAGGCATTCTATTATCGCTACCTGGTGTATGAGTCATGCTGAAGTTGATTGCTTTTCAGTGCTTCTATATTTCCATAGTGCCGCAGTAGTCATATCTCTCAAAAGAGATTTGCTCTCATTATTTTCTCTCGATATTGCCAATAGAGGAACATATATGCTTTGTATATACCGAAGGAAAATTTTCAAAGCATGAATGCCTTTGCTACACCTTTCGTAACACTCCGTTGGAGTTGTGTGAACTAAAATGCTGGTGTGTTATGGCATCTGACACTACATATACTGATGCACTTGTGGGAAAAAAAAAAGAAAACTTCCGGAGTACACCATATGATATAGGCCAGAAAAGTAATTCTAGTAAATACAAGATTTTATTTTCTTGCACAGCTGGTGATTTGCCCCAAGAAAATCCTGCGGATGTGCAACAGCCAGCTACCCAGCCACCTGCACGCAAGTTGTCTTTGCCGAACCCTCGTCAGGAGCTTCCACGTGTGCCACCTGCACCAATCTCGTCTGAAGCAGACAGAGAGCTTGAGTATGAGTACGTCGAACGCCCGCCAACCATACCTGCTCCGCCAGAAGAAGAAGAGCCTCTTTATGAAGACGGAGAAAGCTATTTCTCGGACGACACGAAGACAAGCAGCCAGACAGATGAGGAAGTGACAAGCGACTACGAAAGCTGGTACCAGGCTATCTGGGATTGCCACGCCGGACAACCTGATGAACTTTCCTTTAAACGTGGTGACTTGCTAAAAGTTGTCAGCAAAGAGTATGATGAACACTCTTGGTGGGTCGCCCAGCCACGTGGCAACAAGGGATCTGTGGGCTTTGTGCCAAAGACATATCTCATGGCAGCCTATGAGAAAGTGCAGTGATGTTCTCATAGATGATCAGGCTGTATTTTCATCACATTTGTTGGGATGCTGAAGTGAGTGTGAAGTGTGATGTGTGACGAGAATGACTTTACATGCTTTTTCTATGCACAGAGTAGTAATAGCGATTGTCATAGAAATAAAAAGATTAACCAAGTTTTACATAGTGGTAATAAGAGTGATCAGATCCATTAGAATCAAATTATCAGTAACGAATAAAACTTAGTGTTCGAGCTTTCTTTTTTTTTGCTAGCTGTGGGTGTGATTGCCTTACCTTCTCTATTGATTTATTTCGCGTGCCTTCAATCGTTACATCATTAAAGAGAGGAGTGTGGTACATGCTTAAAACAATAGCAAGGGTTATTATAAAGTTATATAATGCTAGCAATGAGTCACTAGACATAATCATTGAATAAAATGATTGCAAGAATACTTGGAAATAAATGGAGTGGCATACACAATGAGGATCAGAATAAAAAAACCAGAAAATGTTTATTTGTAAGAAAAGAACAGTGGGGCCACATGGTATTGTAACAACTGACTTGAAAATAACAAAGTTCCTTAAGTGTTCAAATGTAACAATATCGGTTGGAATGTTGTTCTAGTTGTTCATCATAAGTAGAATAAATAATGTGTCCGTATGACAAAAGATGCATACTTTACGACAGTAACTAAGTTGCGATGACATAAGCAGGTGCTAAAATGAACTCGCTGCAATGATATGGTCAAAGGATATAGTCTTGGAGAGGTACGGAGAGCAACCAACCAGTGTGGAAAGACAACATTTGAGAATTTCTTGAATGTGAATATGCGGTAACGTTTTAGTGACAGAGCTTTAGTGACAGAGTGCCACCAGGGAGAGGGCCTGGAACACTAGCCCAACGCCTATAGTAGGACAATTGATTAGATGTACTCAAATCACCCGTAACTGGAAAGAATGTTTCAGCTCACTGTAAGGAGGAGTAACATGCAATTGATGCATTACAGCCCGATTCATGAAAAAAAAAAAAGAACTTAAAATACCCATGTTTCTTTTCCATCGGGCTATGGTCTGCTATGGTGGATAGCTCTGGTAGTGTAGCTAAAGCCCCTTGCTTCATTGTGGCCCTGGCGACAGTTCGGCTACAGAGCGAATAAGTTGTGTGCATGTCTTCGTTTGCAAGCTGTTCTAGTAGGACGGCGGTCATAAATACGCCAATGATGTGCTGACTTACGAAGCAGGATTTTATAGCATGAAAGGTTTCTGAAAGAACGTTATTTTAAACAACACTTGTTGTTTACAAAACTTATTACTTGCCTTTCACATACCCTTCTAGCAAGAGTCATTCGTTTCCTCAGACAAAGAATTTTCAACTGTTCTTTTCCATTTAATGGCCTGTAAACTAGCTCAGACTTATTTTTTCATTATACCTCCTAGGGGTGTAAAAAAAATTATATGGCAGTCATATTTTGGGACTTCATTTTGTGTTCTATATATATAAAAATATTGTGCTTCAATGTGAATTTGTTGTGGGTGTTAATTTAACTTAAATGGTAAGCCTATGAATACCATTTAAACACATCATATTTCTTGGTTATATCAATGTGCTGTCCAATTGTAAAAGTTTCATTGTGGGTTTTGTTAGGACCAAAAAAGTAAGGTTATAGCCTTTGAAAATGTTTCATTTTTCAATTTTTAACATTCGTCCAATTCGAATAAAATTCATTGTTGGTTTTAGTTTGACTAAAAAGGTCAGAGGCCTTTGGAAATCTTGCATTTTTGGATATTTGGATGCTTTGTCCAGTTTTAATAAAATTCGTTGTAGGTTTACGCCTGTATACTGTAAACATCCAGACATGTATGCTGTATTTTGCAAACCTTTTTTTTTCTTTTGTTTGCTTACCATTGATAATAATGATCATGTTATTGATGCTTTTACCCCAACCTCTTGAGTAATACCCTGAAAAGGGTCTTTTAGTGTAAATAAATGATGTTGATATGACCAAAAAGGTAACCCTATATTCTTTTGACTAATTAGTGTATTCATTGGGGAGGTAGTGGCCAAGTACTGCACCAGGGTGTTCAATCTTGTTCAATCTGGTGAGGAACTAGATTTCAAAAGAGGGCAAACATGTGGTACAAGACAAAATTAAGTTGGCAGATGAGATCAGTGAGTTTGCATGAGCAACTTGGCAGCTGAAAGCACAAGACAGGACTGATTGGCAGAACATAGGAGATACTTTTGCCCTGCTGTGGATGTAGTCAGGCTGATGATGATGATGATGATTTCCTGTGGAAGCCCTGCGTTTCTGACTTTGGGGTACAATTTTAATAAAATTTGTATTTGGTGTTTAAACCAATTAGGTTAGCCTATAGTCCTTGAATGCCACATGCTGACAGCATAGGTGGCAAAATCTCTGAGCATCTGCTTCCAGTGTGGCAGGTCCCGGGTTGTATTCTGGAGGCCAGCCTCGTATCTCCCCAATTTCAGTGTGCAAATAGGGCCCTGATTAAGTTTGTCTGATGAGGTTGAAGGAAGCCCTGGTTGTAGGAATCAGCACTGTTGCTGCTAGAAGCTGAGGAAACTTCAAGCTAAAAAAGAGCGACCATACTTTTGGTGTTTTTTTAGGGCCATACCTTTAGGGGGCGTTATATGCATAACCATGAGTGTAAGGGCCTTCCGAGCCAGAACTTCCCCAACTGCATAGGCTTCATTTCAATACAACTCGAAAAGTGCTAGAAAAAGTCTAGGCCCTTATCATCTATGATAAGGCCCAACTTTTGTCTCGCCTCACACCTTGCAGCCATGACCCTGCTATGCCTCCCTTCCGAGCTGAAAGTTCCCCTGATGCGCTGGCTTCCCCACAATATACGGCCAAAACCACTCGAAAAAGTTGAGGCCCTTATCACACATGATAAGGCTCAACTTTTTTCTGACGTTACACCCAGTAGTGGCGGACCATATGTGCCGTCTTCCGAACAAAAGATTTCCCTGATATGTTGGCTTCACCATCACGGGCATCGAAACCAGCCGATAAAGTTGGGGCCCTTATCACACATGATAAGGCCCGACTTTTGTCTGACGTCACACCTTGTAGCGATGGGCCCACAGCGGACTAAAAAGTGGACCGATGGTTGGTCTCGTGATGAAGCTTAACGTGCGACTAAAAGTGGACAAAAAAAGGGGGTCCCGTGATGGTGTTTATTTAAGGCGGGTTATTCAAAGAGGGGACTTAGAGGGTTGTCACGTGATGAAGCTTACACACACATTGCGATGGGATTCACGTGATGTCACGTGATGAAGCTTACATAGGCGGGCTATTCAATCAGGGGGTTCAGAAGGATCATGTGATGAAGCGCACATAAGGCGCGCGATTCAAAAAGGGAACTGAAAGGGGGCCACGTGAGGATGAAGTCAGGGTGGGTGATTCAAAGCACAGAGTTTCCTAAAATTAACTAGAGGGTACTCTGGCACTGCTACCGTTCAGCGACCATGTGAATGATAGGTAGTAAACGTATTTGTCTAGTCTTCGTACTTTCTAGCATCGAATCGCACCTGTTCTATTTATTGCCGTGTTTCTGTTTTGTTTTGAAGAAAAAGACGAACCCTTCCGAGCTGAAAGTTCCCCTTATACGTTGGCTTCTCCGCTATAGAAGGCCAAAACCAGTGGAAAAAGTTTAGGCTCTTTTCATTCATGATAAGGCCCATTTTATGTCTGACGTCACACCTTGCAGCGATCGATCTGCTATGTGTTCCTTCCGAGCGGCATTCCCCTGATGCTTTGGCTTCCCCGCGATGCATAGTTGAAACCAGAGAAACAAGTTGGGGCCTTTATCACCCCTGATAAGGCTCAAGTTTTGTCTGACGTCACGCCTTGTCACGTGGGCACCCATTGCTGCAAGCTGTGACGTCAGACAAAAGTCGGGCTTTATCAGGGGTGATAAGGGCTTAAACTTTTTTCGCTGGTTTCGACCATTTATTGCGGAGAAGCCAGCTCCTCAGGGAAACCTTTAGCTCAGAACAGCCGCATAGTACGGCCAAGTAACAAGTTGTGACGTCAGACAAAACTTGAGCCTTATCAGGGGTGATAAGGGCTTAAACTTTTTTCGCTGGTTTCGACCATTCATTGCGGAGAAGCCAGCTCCTCAGGGAAACCTTTAGCTGAGAAGAGCCGCATATTACGGCCAAGTAACAAGTTGTGACGTCACACAAAACTTGAGCCTTATCAGGGGTGATAAGAGCCTAAACTTTTTTCGCTGGTTTTGGCCATGCCTGACTGGGAAGCTAACTTCTCAGGGGACCGTTCAGGTCGCAACAAACGTACAGTACACACCACGAGGCACGGTGTGACGTCAGAAAAAAGTTGAGCCTTATCAGAGCTGATAATGGCCTAAACTTTTTTCGCTGGTTTCGACCATGCAATGCTTGGAAGCCAACTTCTCAGGTAACAGATTAGCTCGCAACAAACGCACAGTACGCACTACGAGGCAATGTGTGGCGTCAAAAAAAGTTTAGCCTTATCAGGGGTGATAAGGACCTCAACTTTTTTCGCTGGTTTCGACCATGCAGTGCTTGGAAGCCAACTTCTCAGGGGAACCTTTAGCTCGGAGCAGCCGCACAGTACGCCCGCGTGACAAGTTGTGGTGTCAGACAAAACTTGAGCCTTATCAGGGGTGATAAGAGCCTAAACTTTTTTCGCTGGTTTTGACCATGCCTGACGGGGAAGCTAACTTCTCAGGGGACCGTCCAGCTTGCAACAAACGTACATTACGCACCGCGAGGCACGGTGTGACGTCAGAAAAAAGTTGAGCCTTATCAGGGCTGATAAGGGCCTAAACTTTTTTCGCTGGCTTCGACCATGCAATGCTTAGAAGCCAACTTCTCAGGGAACAGATTAGCTCGCAACAAACGCACAGTACGCACTACGAGACATAGTGTGGCGTCAAAAAAGTTTAGCCTTATCAGGGGTGATAAAGGCCTCCACTTTTTTCGCTGGTTTCGACCATGCAGTGCTTGGAAGCCAACTTCTCAGGGGAACCTTTAGCTCGGAACAGCCGCACAGTACGCCCACGTGACAAGTTGTGGTGTCAGACAAAACTTGAGCCTTATCAGGGGTGATAAGAGCCTAAACTTTTTTCGCTGGTTTTGACCATGCAATGCGGAGAAGCCAACTCCTCAGGCACACTTTAGCGCGAAACAAACGTACAGTACGCCTGATAGGTTGGCTTCACCACAACAGAAATCGAAACCAGCCGAAAAAGTTGAGGCTTTTATCAGCCATGATAAGGCCCAACTTTTGTCTGATGTCACACCTTGCAGCGATGGGCCCACTGTGGACTGATGGTTGGTCACGTGATGAAGCCTAACGTGCGACTAGGAGTGGACTAAAAAAGGGGTCACGTGATGGTGTTTATTTAAGGCGGGTTATTCAAAGAGGGGACTTGGAGGGTTGTCACGTGATGAAGCTCACATACACATTGCGATGGGTTTCACGTGATGTCACGCGATGAAGCTTGTATAAGTGGTCTATTCAATCATTGGATTTAGAAGGGTCACGTGATGAAGCTATGAAGGCGCGCGATTCAAAAAGCAAACTGAAAGGGGGTCACGTGATGATACTTACTTAGGGCGGGTGAGTCAAAGCATAGAGTTTCCTAAAATTAACTAGAGGGGACTCTGGCGCCGCGATCGTTCAGCGACCATGGGAATGATAGGTAGTACACGTATTTGTCTAGTCTTCGTACTTGAGAGCCGCGAATCGCACTTGTGGCTTCATTTATTGTTGTGTTTTGGTTTTGTTTTGAAGGTAAGAACGAACCCTTTTGAAATTGTGAATCGATTTGAAATAGTAAGCCTAAAATATTAAGGTAGTGAAGTGAAACTGCTGAATATTCGCCGTTTTTTGTTTTTGTGAGAAAACAGCTACAAGTCACACGAACACGCACGGAGCCAGTAGTACGATGATATTAGACAAATCCCTGTAGTACCCACTATTCCCATGCTCGCCGAGGCACCGTGCGTTTCAGTTCCCATAAACACTAGCTCCAGAGTTCCCTTTAGTTCATATTTAAAAGAGCTCTACGATTCAAAGGGTGGACTGATGTCAAGTGACGAAACTTACGCAAGGCGGGTAATTCAAGCAGTAGGTTGAGAAGGGTGTCACGTGATGAAGCTTACGTAATGCGTACATTTGAAACAAGGGACTGAAAGGGGCGTCAGTGATGAAGCTTGTATAGGCTAGTGATTCAATGAATGTATTCAAAGAGGTGTTGCGTAATAAAGCTCACATAAGGTGGGCAATTCAAAGTGTGCAAAAAGTGGATTTAGCGGATTGAGACAGTAGTAGTTATCCCTGAGATGGCAGATGGCTGGCCGGGTGTAAGAGGAAGATTTAGAGTAAGTGGAAAGATTCTAGGGTAACCCACGCAGGCCAGAGCCATCGAATGGAACTAAGAACCTTACTTACCTTAAATAAAACAAAACAAGAAAATGACTTTGAAGTAGTAAGAAAAAACAGAAGAAGAAACTCGAACAAAATGATTGAAAGGGCAACAGGCTTTCACTGCATGGAAGTGGCTAGATTTTTCATTAAGCTAGCACTGAAATAAACAAGGTTTTTGTCAGCAAACGTCACGGTCGTATCTGAAAGCCCGCAAAGGATGATCTCCTGAGATATATTTTACAGAACATCTTTTAATTACAGGTCTTTTTCTACTGCCTTCTCTCGTCTTTCAGCTGCGGCTCCGTAGAAGAGGGCCTTCTGTTCTTCCCAAGAGAGCGCGGAGGGTTTTGAGGCGCTCGAATGGCTTGGTGCCGGTGCAGTTGCTCGCCGCAGTGTCCATGTCAGCGCCGAACACCGCCACGCAGCCACGCTGATAGCGGCTCAGGAACGTCTCCATCTGTAATAGGTTACGAAAAAAAAAAGCATCTTACTACAAACCACCCTTTCTTTCGATTCTTAATCATCAGTCGTCATCAGCCTGGCAGCACCCACGGTAGTGCAAATTAAGCGAAGTTATTGACCATATAACGCTAGTTGACTTGACTGACCGCCCCTCTCCCCCCTATCCCCCCCCCCCAAAAAAAATCACAGCATATCCACGGAGTGAATGATGATGAGTGGGGCAAAGCATCCGTGAGGCTGTCCATGCTTCCGTCCATCCATTCGTTCTTGCTTCCGTCTGTCGCGCGACTATCCATGCGTCCATCCATGCGTGCGTCCGTCTGTGCATGTGTCCATTCGTCCGTACGTCCACGCGTCCGTCCGTCCATGCGTCCATCTAGTGAGCACTCCAAGTACCGCCATCTCGCATCCCCTGTGGCACGTATACCCGCTCCATGCGTCCTTATGGTAGTCTGTCTGTCTGTCTGTCTGTCCGTTCATGCATCCGTCCGTGCGTCCATCTAGTGAACACTCCAGTATCGGCATCTCCCATATCGCAATCTGGTGGCTACGTACGACAGCGACGGAGGATGGACACACCCACGCCTTAAGGAGCTTCGCCTCTAAAAGAGACTGCGGAAGGAAAATAGCTCGTATCGAGACAAAATACAGCCACCCCTATATAAGTGATTTGTACCGAAAGTAAGAGATGTGTGGTTTTAGGCGTCTGTGTTGAAAGTAATTACAAAATGTTCCTCAACCTGATTCTCATGAGTTAACGAGGTACGCAGTTGGCCAGTATTCTTCGTGAACTATGCCCGGTCCGTTGCCGTTTTTTTGCTCAATTGTAAGTACACAGCGCGTAACGAACAATAATTGTTTATTTTCAAAATACGCGATAGCAGCCTATTAGAATTAAGCAAAACAGAGCGGCGAGCGAGTTGGTACTGATTCATTACGGCGTAAATGTAGCGAAACAAAAATAGACGAGGACAAGAAAGTGAGTACCGCAAGCGCTTACACACAACTGAAAGCTTTATTGCCTGAACTGAAAATATATAACATCTAAACTTGACGCTCGGCTAAATTTATAGTGCATGCGAATCATGGGCGAAGCAAGAAACCAGAAAAAAACACACCCCCGGCACCCCCCTACCAAACGGTCTACTCCCTTTTTTTGGGTAGTATCACTTCCTTTTCCGATAAGGCCAAAGAAAGATTGCAAACACACATAGAAGCCCTCGCTTTAATATGAAAAGCCTCGGCAAGTTCTCGAGACCGCCAGGGGGCGACGGAGTGCAGACACGCATGTCCCGTCGGCTCCGCAGATCTTGAGTGATTCTCAGCGTGAAATCGAAGAATTGACGGACGTCTTCTTACAGTCAAGAAAGTGGAAGTTCCACGGAACCCCGTGATATCGCTCTCAAGTAGGTGGACGGTTAATTTTCGGCACATCGACCACTTTTCTGTAACGCCGACGAACGCACGGCGCCGTTGCCTCCTGCTGCTGTACATAATGCGCTTGGCCTAGCCCACGGACGCTGGCGTCTTGAGCCCCCTCAAGGCGGCGTCTTCTCGGGTTAATGCCACAGGATGGCTACGATGAGCGTGGACGGCGAGGATATCACGCAACAAGAGTATGAGAACGAAGCAGGTTGGCACCTTGAGAACAGAAGAGGACGAGCCAACGAAGAAACCACAACGCACGAAGCCAATGACCACAAAACGCACCTCTCAAGCGAGAACGCGGTCAGTAACAGGTGGAGGAAGGTACAGAGAGCAAAACAAATCGTGGCTGCGAGCAGGATGCCCCGTCTGCCGAAGGAAGATTACAAGATAATTGTGCGCCCACGTGACGGCTTCAAGGTCACTGACTACGGGATCAATCGTCTAGAATGCTGCGTCGCCAACGCCGCTAAAATACCCAGGATTGAATCAGAAGAAGACACGGTATGTGCAAACTATAAACAGAACATACTAGTGGTCAGCAAGCCATCGGAGGAGCGCGCCGAAAAATACACAACCGTCACTCAACTGAAGATTGGGGACAAGGAATTCGAAGCAAATGCGTACGAGCCAGCTCCGGAAGATAGATCTAAAAGGGTGATCCGAGGAGTAACGCAGGGCGTGTCTCCAAGAAAGATAGTGGAAATGCTAGTAACACCGAGAAATTTGACGGTTCTCATGGCCAAGAGGATGGGAAACACCACGAACGTCATCGTCTTTTTCGATAGGCATTGCGTTCCATGTTATGTGAGATACCGAAGAACACTGGTCAAGTGCTCACTATACCGCAAGCAAATAGACGTGTGCTACCAGTGTGGACGCCTTGGTCACAGAGCTGACGTCTGCCCGAGCCCGAATAGCAGAATATGCAGAGGGTGCGAGGCTGAGAACCCACCGCAGGACCACGAGTGCGAAGTGAAGTGCCAGCTGTGTGGCAAAGACCACCCGACGGCAGAACGCCATCGCAAGGTCAGAGTCAAGGTACCGTACCTGGTGAAACGACGCCGCTGGGAACGAGCCCGACGAGAAAAATAAGAGGCGATTTACTACGAGACGGAAGCGAAAGCACTTCACAGGCAATGATGGGGTGACTCAAGTCAACAATCGGAACATAGGAGGCGGGACGCACCCGGACCAGAAGCCTTCCCCAAGCTTCAAGCACAAGACAAAAGCCCCTCTACGTTTACTATACCACCCCATCTATGTCGAGATCCAGATCAAGGTCCATATCGAGGTCTAGACCCAAGACTGGCAATACCGGGTCTCCCCGACCATCGGAGGGAGGAGGATCCCAAAGCCCAAAAGGGCCGAGTGGCGTCCGTGGCACCGCGGGATCCTTCCAGGTGAGCTGGGCTGACGTAGCTTCCGGGGCGCGCGCGGAGGCAGAGGCTGCTCTTCAATGTAGGATTAAGGCGCTAGAGAACAAATTGGCGAATATCAGGCAGAACAACGTTGCATTTATGAATGAAGAAAACTCAGGGAAGAAAATTGCCTTCTGAAAAGAGGAGGGGTTACACGCAACGAGGAAGCCTCAAGTTATAACGGAGGAAAAAGGCGCAGCAATGGACGAAGAGGTAGCAGCCCTCACCCCCATTAAACGTAAACCAGAGAACGCTCCGATTAAAAGCGTGGTAAGGAAACCCAAAACAGTGGCGACGCTACAAGAAAGACAGGAGGAATTTGCAAACACCATGGAAGCCGAAATAGAACAGATTGAAAGGAAATTGCAAACTAAGCTCGAAAAACAAGAAGTTAGATTTGAGGCAAACATGGAGGCAGAAATCAAGGCGCTAGGCAAGACGATATTGCAGAAAGTGCAACAAATGGTGGCTAATTTCGATGCCAAGATAGCAATATGGGAATCGCAGTCAAGTGGTGCACCGGTTAAAACGTCTTTCAAGCTGTACGCTAGGACCTCGGTGCCCACTGAGGGATCGGAGAGCTTGTAACGCCGCCATGGACAGACAAAATAGCTACACAATTTGGCAATAAAATTGTCGAGGACATAATCGAAAACGATACATTTTACAACAACATTTTATAGAGACACCAGCACCCCGGATGTTATAATGGAGCAAGAAACGCACGGGCTGGCCAAATTGTCGGGATATAAGTCATTCGGCAGTGCTGATGGGGAGACAAAGGTATTAGCAAGGTTGGTTAAGCGAAATCACACGGTGGTGCAACACGACACGGAAATTAAGGCAATAAATCACATTCTCCTTGAACTCATACCCACGCGGAAAACAGAGGACAGTCTTTTTGTAATAAATATTTACAGCAGTCCTAAATGCAGAAAACACAAATTCCGCACGCTGTTTCACGAAACCCTCGCTATAACAGGCAATAGGGCGCTGCTGATTGGAGGATATTTCAACGCCCCGCACGGTGCATGGGGATACAGGATCGAAACCCAGAAAGGCAGGAACTTGTGGTTGGACGCACAGGAGGAGGGCCTGACGCTCGTGACCGATCCATCGATTCCTACAAGATCAGGTACTAGCGTTTGCGCGGATACCACGCCAGATTTGACGTTCACCAAAAACATACTGGACACGCAGGGGACCAATACGCAACATGACTAGAGAAGCGATCATTCTATACTTGAAATAATGGTGAGGGCAGGGCCGCGGAAGGCAAAAGGCAAACAACTTAAACTTGTCGACTGGGACAAGTTCCGGAACATCAGAGAGGAGCCCGATGAAATGATACAGAGTATTGAGGAATGGACCGAAAAGTTAAAACGACACGTGGAGGCAGCTACACAAACGGTGTCACCGGAGGCGCAGCTAGAGTGTGTAGACAACAATCTTCTCCACATGTGGGAAGCAAATGAAGGTTTACAATGGAGGTGAAAAAACAAAACAAAAACACAACCGGACAGTTCGTGGAAGGATAGCTAAATTGAACAGGAATATAGAGCAATGCGCGCCCAGCAGTTGTGCAGACAACAGTGGGAAGGAAAATGCAATGACATGGACAACCAGATAGGAATGGCGAAAACGTGGAGCATCCTGGGACATTTGTTAAACCCGGACGAGAACAAGTTGTCAGAAAGGCACAATATTAATCGGTTAATACAAACGTATCAAGTACAGAGCAGGATTTCCTGAATGAAATCAAGAAAACATACATCTCTCAAGCGCTTCCCGTTACATAACCTGATTACACAGGGCTGGCAAATGATGATTTAGACAACTAGATCAGTGAGGTGGAAGTGATGGCCGCTTTGCAAAAACTCAATACTAGATCAGCCCCTGGACTATATGGCATAACTAACAAAACGCTACGCAATTTGGGTGATGATTGCATAACTAAGTTAAGTGAATTCATTAACAAATCATGGAAGGCAGGACAGATTCTGCAACAAAGGAAGAATGCACAAGTCGTGTTAATAGCCAAACCAGGCAAGCGACTGCAGATTGCGGACTATAGACCCATATCTCTCACATCTTGCGTGGGGAAACTCATGGAGCACGTAATTCTGGAGGGGATAACTACCAATCTCGAGGACCGGGATGCGCTCCCACACACAATGATAGGGTTCAGGAGGAACCTCTGAACGCAAGACGCAATGCGACAGTTAAAACATCAGAATATAGATAATCTGGGAACAGCGACAAAGGTCATTCTAGGGTTACACCTCAAGAAGGCCTTTTTTATTGTAACATATGCAACGGTGCTAAAAAGGGTAAACGATCTAGGTCTGGGACAATGGACGTACAATTACGTGCGTAATTTTCTGACGGGAAGGAAGGCGAAGATCATGAAAGGGAAGGGGGCCTAGTTTCGGAGGAAATTGAGATGCGCAGTGCAGGTACGCTGCAAGGCTCGGTAACATCGCCTATGTTTTTCAATCTGGCCCTAATTGGACTGCCAACCAAGGTCCAAGCAACCGAAGGACTGAATCATACACTATATGCAGACGACATCACCCTATGGGTGAAAAATGGGAGTGATGGGCAAATAGAGGAAACGCTTCAAACAGCAGTCGAAGCGGTCGAGCGGTATCTGGAAGGTACTGGGCTAGCCTGCTCTGCGGAAAAATCGGAGCTGTTGCTGTACAGACCAACTCGTAGAGATCGCAAACCAGGCAACTGCCTGCAGGATCTCGCTCATAGAGAAGAAATACAGTTAAGAACAGCCGATGAAAAAACCATACCCATAGTGGACAGGATAAGGGTACTGGGTCTGTTCATCGAAGCCAAGGGAAACAACTGAGAAACCCTCAGACGACTGGATGCATCTGTAGCCCAAATAATGAGACTCGTAAAAAGGATAGCAACTAAGCACAGTGGCATGAGGGAGGAAAACATGATAAGGTTGATACAGGCATTCGTGATAAGCAGAATAGTATACGTAGCGCCGTACTTGAAATGGCAAGTCACGGAAAAGATCAAGTTAGACTGCCTCACTCGAAAAATATTTGAACTAGCCATAGGGCTACCGATTAGCACAAGTACGGATAAACTGCTACAGCTAGGCCTGCACAATAGCATGGATGAGCTCATTGAGGCGCAGCGTACGGCACAATATAAACGTCTCTCTAAGACGCGACCAGGAAGGCATATCCTAGAACGACTAGGAATAACGTATCACACACAACACGGCGTCAAGGTGGACATCCCAAGAGAGACCAGGGATACAATAATGATACCCCCCCCCCCCCCCTTGCCAGAAACATGCACCCCGAACACAATAAGGTTAGACGAGAGACCAGAGCAAAGCAAAAAAAAAAAAAACAGTTCGGTATTGACAAGGACGCAGTTTTCGTAGACGCTGCTCGATACAAGCGCAGATGGTGGTTTATGGAAGCCGTAATCGATAGCAACAAACGCTGTACAACATGCGTGACGATACACACCACAAGTACCGAGACAGCGGAAGAGGTAGCCATAGCGCTCGCAGTATCTCAGACAAACGCAACCGTGATAGTCAGCGACTCTCAAACGGCAGTGAGAAACTTTGCCAACGGCCGCATCTCCCCGGAGGCACTGCGTATTCTACATGGGGGGTGTCGAACAAGCCCCAGAAATACATACATTATATGGACACCTGCTCACGCCATCGCGGGGGACAGCAACAACGAGGCTGTCACAGCTCGAGGGCTCACTGACCGAGCTGCCCTCTTAAGTGCCACCCCAGCATCATCCGGTGATCACGGCGCGGCAGACGAGTGGGAGTGGGAAGACAGAATGACCAGATACAATGACATTACAAAACGTTATAGATTACAGAGGGGCATATTCCCGCCCCATCACCCAAAATTAACAAAAAGACAGTCTGTCGAATGGCGCCAGTTACAAACTATAGGACGTATCCGAATCCTGCACTCTCGCACATTATCTATCCTGATATATACAAAACGGACAGGTGCAACTGTTGCGACTCCAGAGCCACTCTGGAGCATATGGGAATGTAGAGGGCTTAGTGCCCATAACGAGTATGCGGCCTCTGGTGACAACTTTCGCGCGCGCTGGGAAGCCGCAATGCTCAGCCCTGTCCTCGAAGATCAGATGTGGGCCGTCCAGCGGGCTGAGGAAGCCCCCAGGATTCAAGCACTCCTGCCCGTAACCTAGGCGGGGCTATTCGCCCACCCCACTTACTCGCTGGACTCTGAATAAAGTTCTTTCCTCCTCTTCCTCGGCAAGTTCTCGTGTCGTGCGTTCGTGGTGTCTAAACAAGATCTCCGTCGTGGAGAAGAGAATTCAGTGCAGGGTAGTACAGGTAACAGAGTTACAGCCTGTGTGGAAATTTACTTTTCAAACGGGTTTAGAGTGGCATAGTGCCATTATCCGCAAAGTTCAAAGGGTGGGGGTAATAATATATGTTGGAGAGGACGTTGCCATCAGTCTCCAAAACACGGCGTGTCGACACCGTGTTTCTCAACCCTCCCCCTCTCTCCCCCTCCCCCGAATTACCTTATGGAAACCCCATTGAAGATATAAAAATTTTCAAGTGCAGGGCACTTTGGGGAGGGGGGGGGGGGCGTGCTGTTGCATGCTGTCGTCAACGCTTGGCGTAACGCGGGCAAAACCACGCATAAAAATGGAAGAAGATGGAGCGAGAAAAAGAAAAAGAGATAAAGGAAAGAAAGTAAGAAAGGAAAGGAAAATAGAAATTAAAAATGGAGAGAAATAGACAAAAAAAAACTGGGAAAGATAATGGTGAATCGACGAGGAAAGAAAGAAAACCGAAGAGCAACAAAGACGGCTGACCAGCTACGCACTTCTTCCAGGCTTGGCACCACTATTGCGAAACTGCCTTTTTTATTTCACAGTAGAGTGCGATAATGATACTCTTAAAAAAATAAACATGGGGCTTAACAAGACTAAAATCTTATGGGCGATTTAAGTTTGTAAATCTGCGCCTTGTTTGCAGAATAGCCACTTGCCTTTATTCGGAGGCTCCGTTGGTCTTCAAACGCGAGCATGTGGGACTTGTTGTATGTGTAGGAAGTCATTGAGGACACCTCGACCAAACGATCAGATTCTTCCGGAGGACATGCCTGTGAGAAAAAAAAAAAGAAGAAAGAAACCACTGCAGCTATATTTTTGGTTGGATCTCAGTAGCAGTCAGTTTTTTTTTTACTTTTTTACATAGATGTTTTGGTTTTTTGTTGTGCAGCTGTTGAGTTTCGGTTTTGTGTAGCGTGACGAAGGCGGACGACAAGGCTAGGTCTTAAAAAGATTCGCATCTAAGAGGAAAAAAAAGACATGGCTTGGTCAGTCAAATGGCCGCATGCCTTCGCCGAATCACAATTTAGAATTTACAAAGTGTCCTTCAATCTTATTGTTTCGTCTCCAAACACTCGATTTCACTCGAAGTGCACGCATCGTTTATACCTGAGGTCATCAACCTGCAGCCCGTGTGGCAGTATCATGCAGCCCCCGTGATGACGTCAGAGCCATCCACCCTTCACACTCTGTCTGAAGGCCGACGTGGCAGTTTCGACCTGAAATTGAGCTTTTGCTTGTGTTTTCTTTGTAAATTTCAACCTTGTGACATGATAGCGAAATATGAACGATTTCTATTTCAATATTTTACATCATTGTCTATTCCAATTTGTCTATTTCTATATCTTTGCCTACAGCCCCCCCCCCCCCCCCCCCGCCCCCTCCTTGTATAATCTTGTGGCTCCCACGATGTCGGCTTCATGCAACTCGGCCCACCGCATTATAAGGTTTGTGAACCTTTATATAACCAAACCTCATTAAAACGAAGTTGCATCTTACACGAAAGTAAGTTCATTATATCCGAAAATTCTTTATAAAAGTATATTCCTAATTCAATCTGTTGCAAAGACAATATTCATTTACTTTTTATAACTGATATTTCATTATATTCAGCTTAGTCCTATCGAAATTTGAGTGTACTAGGCGGTGCTAATTCGTCGGATGTTGCTGGGGGTCAACATTCCAACATCATCTCTATCCCTCGCGAGCAAAAGTCCCGTCGTTGAAAAAAAGGAACCTGTTCTCACATCCATACACTGCTATTATACTAGACCATGCTAGCGGTCATAAATAATGGAACAAAAATGCAGCTAGAGCCAAGCATTCAGTGTTTATCACTTTTAGTCCTTCATGTTCCCACGAAATTCTCACTCGTTTAACCACAATACCACTCTTGCACGATCAAACCTCGATATAATGAAGTAGCACCAAGATCACAAGTTATTATACCTGACATTCATTGTAACGGTATAAATAGAAATCGGCTCTAACAAATCGTCAACGTAGCTATCGCCAGAATCCTACATACAGAAACGCTTTATTCTAAAGGCTTCAAGCCCACTATATTAACAGGGTGAACATTACTTACCCCTTGTGGCGTCTTAAGCTAAATTGATCGGATCGTCATAAAAAAGTACAACAGAACGAAGTTCGTTTGACAAAACAGGCTCGCATTCACGTTTATTTGAAGAAGAACGTGATGCGAGCGATTAAAGTAAAATGTGGTTGTTTGACTATTTATTTTGCTTTTTGCGCTACCTTCCTTTAGTTCTAAGCCTCACGCGATTTCGTTGTAGCTGATATTACGGTGGCGCTCGCGTTTCATGCTGCATTTTAATAACACTAAATGCCACAGAAATTAAGCGTGTTCAACTAAAGTTAGCATTCCGTTCGCTATAACTGATAGTTCGCTCTGCCAGTGTTCGTTACAACGGGGACATAAAACGTGACGCCCGGGGTGTGAAGGTGTACGCAGAGCGACGGCGCGTACCTCGCCGAACGTGGTCTCGATCATTCGACGACAGCTTTCTCCGGCCCCGTGCAGTCCGAGGTGCAGCCTGTACCTGTAGACGGCCAGTGTAGTCGAGAAGCACACGCCACCCCTCGAGCCTAGGCTGTCGGAGAGCTCCAACAGGCGACTCTGCGAGAGGCGGGCACAAAACGGAGCAGCTCATCTGTATCTGCGCTCTGACGACGCAGTAGACAATGAAAAATAAAATACTAAGCTCGCAACTCGTAGCGTAATTTGCGTGCCACCATAACATTTGCTGCTTTTTTAGGGGCGAAGCTCCTTAGGGCGTGGGCTGTGCGTCCCCTGTAGCCTGTATGTAGCCACCTCTCGTTTAGTTCTTGCAGTGTCCACTAGATGGCGGTACCGTCTCCTGTATGTCGCCTCTTCTCGTTTAGTTCTTGCAGTGTTCACTAGATGGCGGCTCCGTCTCCTGCATGTAGCCACCTCTCGTTTAGTTCTTTCAGTGCTCACTAGATGGTGGGACTTGTAGCTGAAGATGAAAAGATGCAAGATGTTATAAACTAGACGGCGGTACTTGTAGTTGATGATGAAAGATGCGAGATGTTATAAAATAGGAATGATGTCACATATGGCACGTGTCATTGGTGGAAGGCAATCGTTCGATTTAGTGCGGCGACGTACGCTAGGGGGAGCATTGTAATAAAATCGAGTAGGCAAAATGTACGGAAGATTCATGGTTTACCAGGTTTTCCTCCAGAGCTTCGCCCACTCATCATCATTCACTTCGTGGATATGGCGGCACGTTTTTCAATTAAGGTCCTCAGCAGCATTTGTACTTCGAGAAGCGGTTACAGATTCGTGACGATTAACAAATATCTGCACAGGGTGTCCCAAATAAAAAAAAACAGCAAAGTGGATGACACATATTTGAACAACGTTCCTTCATAGTGTGGTGTGTATTTGCAGAGGAACTTCAGTAAAGTATACATGAGCGATGAAACGAAACACCAACAGTGTGGCATCTACGTGCTCTCAAATTTTCTATTTCTTTTTAAGTGGTTGTGGCCTAGATTGTAATGAAAATGTACTATAGATTCATCCATAATACAATAAAGGGCCACTCTCCTTTTTTCCACCAACCAAGGTCAAAGTGCCGCTCTGTTCGCTATCCTTTCCATCGGCCTTGTCCATGTAGTGCGACGTCCCCGTAAACACGGACTGAACGCCAGTCCTTTCAAGATGTTTTCGCTCGTTTCTTAAACCCACGCATAGAAAAAAAGGAAAAGAAAACCTTCGGTGTAACGAATGGGCATTCCGGAGGTCAGAGATATACGATGCGATGAGCTCGAGATGGTAGAGAGACGGAATGAAAAAGGAAGATAACGGTGCGAAGAGATAGCGATGAGAGGCGATGAGATGATGACTGGGGCAAGGACGGTACGATGAGGAATGAAAGTTAGGGATAGGAGGCGAGTGAATGGAGCGTTACGAAAAAGGGCTAAGATGGAAATCACTGAGAAGCACGACGTAGGCGACGATGACAAAGACGATGAAGACGCTGACGAATTGGACAGATCAGACCTCGACGCCAAGAACCAACCTTCGGCCCCGATTCGAGCAGCCAACTCCGAGGCCCCAACTACATGGACATTCTGTGAGACGAACTTCACCTCCCTTACTTAAACGAGCTTTGCGGGAAGGGATGCGGCATATTGAGACATTGCGCGGTTTTATTAATTAATGACTTTATCATTTGTGTCGTCCTGTGTTTACTCTGTATTGAGGCCCCATTGTATTGTCACCGTTACTTCGCTTATGTATCCTGTTTCGCGTGTCGCAAGTATTTGCTGATGTGTTACAATTTCGTGTAACAGAGATGTCGTTCACAGACAGTATGTGTGTACGCCATTTGCACTTGCCATTGAATTAAATACGTCCATGATTAAGAAAAGATTGTGACGTCTCTTACTTCTCGGCCCCAGCATGAATCCCTGTATGTGGAAAGTGATTGAGACACGTAGCCAAGAGGGAACCGGATAAAAAGGGGTTGAGTGGTCTTCCCTCTCTTTGGCGATCGGTGGCGTAGTGGGGACGTCTCATAGTGTAGGTTCAGCTATAGCCCCACGATGTACATATCGAGAGCCAGGCTGCTCTAAACACAATCTTTTTTTTTCTTTTTTTGTTGGTGAATGCTACGAACGAAGTTAATTCATTGAAGTTTTGTTTCATGGATTAATTGGACTTGTACGCGGAAACTCTGTGTACAGAGACTGTAAACAAGCTCGCTCATCATTGCCATGAATGAAGCAAAACAAAGCTTACTTACCATTGAAAGCTTCAGTGCCTCATCTGTTGTCGCGGTCATGGTGCCGTGAAGCTTGCAGTCTTTAGATTCATTCGGCACTTCGTTCGTAAGCGCCAGAAGGTCAGGATACCTAACCAAGCGTAACAGGTGTAAGATTTATATCGCGAGTTTACCGCTATTAACTTGAACGTAATCTTGTTGTAAAGTTTTTTTTTATGTGCGGGTTGGGAGCCATATAAGTGAGCGACACATATTATGAGCGAAGTTGTCATCTTGCAGGTTGAGCAATAGTTGCTCTACTAAAAAATCAGCTCCATCGACGCAGATGCGTCGATGGAGCTGATTTTTCTCTGGAGCCGATCTTTCTTTGTTAATTCGTAACTAGACACTCATTCCGAGAGATTCGATGCCTTTGAACAGTATGAGAAGGCTCATTAATTAGCTACCACCTCGCAAAAGGATGACGCATCACGTGATGCCTGCTGACAAAAAAAAAAAAATGTTCCGGACTCATTGCCATGGCTACAAGCTGCATCGGCTAACAATCTGTGGATTACACGAAGAACATTTTGGAAGAGAGAGTGACCGCCGCCGTATTTCAATTAGTACAGCATCCCACGCGTTATACGAACATTGTAAATTCAGTCCCGACCGGTGGGAAGGCTGCTTTTTAGTCTACTTAAATTTCTTCCCACTTCACTCGAATCCTGCACGTAATGTCGCTATACTTTTCTATGCTTCACTATCTGTTGATCACGTCCTTGGAAGTGATATATAAATTATAAGACAATCAGTGATGTTATAGATCACTGCATGAGCAACTAAATGCAGCAAACGAATAAATGTCACACTTACATTGAAAGCTCTTTGAGCCTGCTTTCCGGTTCAAATGAAGAGATGAGCAAAATGAGAACTGGTTTCGGGTCTCGTTCGCTAAACTCGTTGGAGAGTTCCTGTAAGAGAAAAAGAGCGCGCCTACAGTTGCTGACGCGCTAACATGGCTCTGGACAGTTCATACACAGACGACTATCATCTTCTCACATTTTTTTTCCTTGCACTTGGACTTCAGAACATGAAACGGAGTTGGCACGTTAAAGAACCCCAGGTGGTCTAAATTTCCAGAGCCCTCCACTACGGCGTCTCTCATAATCATATAGTGGTTTTGGGACGTGAAACCCCACATATCCATCAATCAATCAATGAAACGGAGTTGGATCGCGCGTCTGCTTGCAGTCAAAAGGGTTGTCTCTCAGTGGTTGCATTGAACAAAGGCGTTCTTTTGTTTGTATCCCATCGGTGAAAGGACAGTGAAAGCGTGCCTGCGCGCGCTGATTAAATCCAGTAGAAGGTTTACTAGACCAACTTAGTCCTATTAATAGGCATGTAAATTAGCAGATTGATCGTGTGATTTTGGTACAAACAAAGAACAGTAAATTTAGGGCTCGTCTTCTTCGTTATCCACAAATTTATTTATTTATTTATTTATTTATTTATTTATTTATTTATTTATTTATTTATTTATTTATTTATTTATTTATTTATTATTTATTTATTTATTTATTTATTTATTAGTACTGCAATCCCCAGGAGGGATTTTAGGTGAGTACAAACCTATATCTTCGCGGCAGGAATTCTGGCGGTTTTACACTAACACACCTGTTTAATGGAGAAATATTGACAGTATAAAAAAAACCACTGCTTCCTAACTCTTCCTTCCAGCAAAAAAAAAAAAAAAACAGAGAGGGAGGGAGAGGAGAGAGAAGAAAGGAAATGAACAAGAAAATATCTCCCTGCGCCTGCCCACGCTTATACCATGCGCCGACGAAGAAGCCTCGCGAAAAGAGAAGGAAGCGTCATTTGCGTTACGTAAAACAACTTGATGCTCACAGCCAGTGCAGTCTTCGTGTAATGCTTGTTTTTAGTGGTCCTAAAATGACAAACGACACCAAACCAAACTAACTAGCCTAGTTCGCGGCTTTAACGCAATGCAATGAAATGCATAGATATTTTGTACTTAATCTAACTTCTAACCTAACCTAGTTTCTAAAGCTCACGGACAACTTAAAAAATGTAGGGGCTCTCAGGGGGACGTCTATAAGGATTTCTCTAGTAGCACGAAAGGGCTATATGATTAAAACTAGGCGTACTGACACAGACACACACAAAAAAGATCGAGACAACATGAACGCCAATCTTATTTTTTTTGCGTCCATGTCTGCACGTTTACCTCTTTTTTGGCGACCACACACCGACTAACTCAACTAAATTTCTGTCGTTCGAGGGATGAAAGGGCATTCACACATAAAAGTGACCCTGTTAGACTAAGACACCGGCAACAGTTACGCAACCGAGTGCTTGCAATACTTTGGTACAGCAACGGCGCCTCCGCACAAATGCAGCACTGCGTCGGTGAATCAACATCGCACGATTGTACAGAGCAAGATCGGTTGGTAAAAATAGATTTCCTAGCTTGGCTAACAGTTCATGTAAATGCGATATAATCGCCGACGTCAGTGAACTCACCTGAAGAAACTTTGCGAGGGCTTTGACGGGCTGCGTGGTGGCCGTTTCTTTCACCGCCAGTCCGCAAAGGCCTTCAGTGAAAAGCCAGTTGGCGATGAAGGAGATTATTTTCTCCCGTGCTACTGCGCTGTCCGGAAGATCATTCAGCACTTTGCTAGCATCGAGCGATACCACAAAACATGTCCGGTTGAGTTTTGCGTCTAGCAGCCGGCCTTGCAGGTTTGCTTCTGAAAGGTTACAAAAAAAAAATGCTAAGACGAATGTCAGCCCCTACAAGAAGTGCACGCGACTCTGCGTTTAGGAACACAGGGAAAGAGCTACCTCTAAGCTGTGCCCTTATGAATAACGTTAGTCCGTTTATGGCTATGTTACAGTTTTTGTTTAGTTCATTTTTTTCTTTTTTGCATTTGTTTTATGGCTCTTGTTTTCGTGAAGTGCGCAAGCAGGTCGTCGGTCATACTGAGCGACACAGAGTTCGCTTCCCTAGATTGATATTTATAGTCATTTTGTCCTCGGGTGCTTCTTCCGTGCTCATGTTGGTGACGTTTTCAATTCTTGGCGTATTTCCACATACCATGAACCAGTTCGGCATTTCATATCCGGCACATATTCAATTTTGTTATTCTTAAGCGCGTTTCCAACGTGCGTTGCAGTTTTGTCGGTATTAATTGCCATTGATGATGTAGGTTGATTCTTGTACAAAAAATAGATAAAAGAAGAATAAGAAAGAAGGATGCGCATTCATGGTGGTATTTTGTCCTCCATGCGATTATTTTTGCGTACAGCATCTTTGAATATTTTATTCACTGTAATTTTGTCAATCGTATGAATGTGTAGGCAGATATAGCCAAGCATGGTGCATAAAAAGACCTGTTGAAATGCAAATAAACTTATTTGTAAGTGGGCGCTCATACATGTTCTATGTGTCTCCTTGACTTCATCTAAGTCGCGCTAGATTCATCGGGAGTATGTGCCAATTCGCCCAAGTCAAGGTGTTATTAAACTTTATAAAAGCTTTGAGTTCTGTACTGTCGACACTCGCAGCGGGTTTCTCAAACACAAATACGTAACAACTGTGACAGTTGGTTCTTCACACTTGTCCTGGGTTCACCTGTGCGCTCTTCTCGAGCGTCGTTTTTGTACTAGCTGCAGCAGGGTGCTCCAAGTTATCGAGTTGCTTGTGGTTCTTCGTGTGACATTGTAATTTCTTGCTATCACATTCATTGCTTCGCCCTTGCGGCGAAACTGCCACATTTAATGCTAAAAGGTTGCACAGAGCATCATGTGCAACAGGTGACTCTCGTGTCATAGGCATGTGACGGCTTACTTTTATTGTTATCTTTTGCCAATTGATATAAATGGGCTGCCGTTGTCAATGCACGAACAAGCAATTATTTCAATGCCTGTACGTTTTTAGGCGTACGAAACGCATGTTCTTAAACACACAGCCCTACCACACTATACTTAAGCGAAAATACAATAATTCCATACATTTATTTACGAATCCCTATACTTTCCATATATTGCCGTAAGAATCTTTCGGGAAGATGTAGAATAATCGAAACGATATACAAAACATTCAATGGGTAAGTTGTATACCGCAGGTAAGTGGTCTTACTGTAGCTACTGGTTTTGATGACGTTGTTGTAGAGGTACTCCACTTCGCCGTCCACGAAGATGTCGCACTGGGAGAACGGGAAGTCGACAGTGGCGCGCTGCGTTGACGAAGGGATGCAAACCAGTATGCCTGCACCAACCGGAAGTAAAAACTGTCTCATGTTTCACCTTCCATTGCGAGACACGGATACGGTCAGTGACCGGAATTGCGCATTACCTCTGTGCGATGTGCCAGGCGCTGTTGATAGCGAGCGATTCCGTTTGCCTACAGAATGGAAGCAAAAACGCGTTCATGATGGAGGAGAGGTAGACTTCAAAACTGACACTACGCTAGAGTATAGGAGAGTTGAATTATCCCGCAGCAATTCAAGCCGGCAGTGCTGGCAGATATGCGAATGAAGGGAAACAAATGAAGGCAATCAAGCAAATGAGGGGAACCACATGTGTCTGTATCTGAGGGCTTGACTTTCTTTTGCAACTTCCCATATTAAGAGACGAAACTGAAAACACCAGTGTGCCCGCGGCCCGCTGGTTACCCCACCCAACTCCCGCCATGAACTCTAGGCAAGGAATCATTGATATTTAGAAAACTACACAAACTATTTGGAGGAAACTGGATTCCTGAATAAGCATCCAATTCCAGTGACTCCGCGAATTCAGGTTTACAAATCAAGATTTCTTCATTGTACCTTGAGTGTGAATAGGTCTATGTTTTATTACAATTTGTGACAGTATTCATCAAATCACAAATATTCAGAAAAAAACCTAAATGACAATAACTGTGCCATAAAAAACTGCACAAACGTAAAAATATACAGAAGGTAGTCCAACCTCAACCGTGCATTGAGGGTCTTAAACTTTACGACAGAGTCCTACATCGCAGGTTACGTGAGTTTGCTGAGTTGACGCTCACTAGATATATAAGTGTACATACTCCAAATATTGATAAATCAAGAAGTTCTCACCAACTTTAAAATTATCCCCAGCTATAAACAAAAAATGAAAACGTTTCTTTTTTTCTTTTTTATTGCGACATAGACTTGCCTTTAGGGCATAATATTTTTGCGTGTATGGGTATTACATGTGCGTTGTTAGGCCGGTGTTGTGTATGAAGTGGTGTCTTGTGGAATGTTATGTATCTAGCGGTTGTAACTGGTTGTGTCGCTGTAGCGAAGGCCGGCTTGAAAAAGGTGACGGGAGTGTTCCGGCTGTAACCCTTGACATGTCCATATGAGGTATTATGCATTTGCTTGCACCACCATGGTAAAATATGACTCTTTTTTTTCTGTAACTGTCATGCGTTCTCTCAGACAAGCCATTGCTACTTCGCATTCCTTAAAGGTGACAGCAAATTCTTAAACAAATTGTTCACAGTCTTGCAGATGGTTTCAGCAGAGTCGTCTCGGAAAACATATTGATAAAACGGCATATTACGTCGATTGATTGATTGTTATGTGGGGTTGAACGTCCCAAAATTATCATAGGATTGTGAGAGACGCCGTAGTGGAAGGCTCCGGAAATTTCTACCGCCTGGTGTTCTTTAACGAGCCCCAAATCTGGGTCCATGGGCCTACAGAATTTTCGCCTCCATCAAAAATGCCGCCGCCGCTGCCGGGATTCGATCCCGCGACCTGCAGATCAGCAGCCGAGTACCTCAGCAGCTATACCACTACCGTGGGGCGATTTTTTTGTACGTCGCCGTGGCCAGTCTTTTCACAACTCCCCTTAACGTGAAATCGTACAATAAAGTTCAGTATCAATGTTGGACATAAGCGGGAGCTACAAGGTGCCCCTTCAGAGGGCGCTGGGGGCGGAGGTTCATCGCAGCGCGCCCACTCCCTATTACGTCAATGCATTGGGGCTGAATTCGCGCCCACCCTCCCTTCTTTGGTGCTTAGAGGGCCAGCCACCTTACGCCCCTTTGCGTGTTGCTTAAAGTAGCAGCCCCCCTCACCCCCCTCCCTTTGCACACGTCTATGATGTTGGATGAGTGGTTGCCTAGTGAAAGAACACAAGTTGCGTTGTGCGTGCTTGAACTTAAGTGAAAAGCTCGACCTGCAGCCGAATGTATTTTATCGTATATACACTATCTGCAAATTCAGGGTTGCATTGCAAATAAATACATGGCCCTGAACAGGCATCTTACCGAGCACGTTGTCAAGCGCTGCCAGGCGCGAGAAGGCCTGCCGGCACGTGCCCCGCGGGTCCTCGTAGTCCACGTTGAACGCCGCAACGCAGCCTAGCGGCGAGTAGGACAGATAGGACCGGGCCTGCGGGTGTTTGCAAAGCGTGATTAAACGGAATATAAACTAAACAAATACTAAGTTGATATTATGTACCGATAAAGTATTTCTTCGCGCACTGGCTGAAAAGAAAATTCGCTATCACCACTAGCACACCCCACAAACGCTTAGTGGCGTTAATGTTTGACGATATTTGAGACGCAAGTTAACTGCAGAGAGAGAATGCTGAAAGTTCGCGTATTTCTGAAGGGATGATTAGAAAAAAGTCACTAAGGTGTTTTGGAGTCGGCTACAAATGATTGATTGATTGATTTGTGGGGTTTAACGTCCCAAAACCACCATATGATTATGAGAGACGCCGTAGTGGAGGGCTCCGGAAATTTTGACCACCTGGGGTTCTTTAACGTGCACCCAAATCTGAGCACACGGGCCTCGACATTTCCGCCTCCATCGAGTCGGCTACGAATGAAAGATGTTCAGAAGTTAGCTGACATGCAGTCTCAACACCGGAATAAAAATATAGCAAAACATCAATCTTAACGAGTTGTTTCATGCTTGGCTGTAAACTAAGCACAGGTGTGACGGAGAAGGACGCAAGAACTAAATGGCAGCAGTGCCCCGTTTCTGTGGCTCTGCTCTTTTTTTTCCACAGAGTTGTGCGGCAGCTTCGAACTTAAAAAAACGCTGAAGGCAGTTTAGCAGACGTCGAGTAGAGCTGATATTTTGTTCAAGTACGTATATGTTGGCGTGAGTATTGCACACCGTCGCCTCTCGGCGTATTTTTTTATTTAACGAGTATGATCACAAGACACGAAAGACAACGCTCACCTTTGTCTCGAGGCTGTACTCGTTCTCGTACGTCAGAACGTTGTCGTGCTTCCTCGAAAGCACGGCGGACGATACAGTGTCGTACTCGACGTTTCCTTCCCACGTGCACACCTGAAATTGAGCACTTCTTCGCGTAAACATCATATCGTCACCACTTACTGCGCATCTGCTCGGTGATCGATTTCCTTAACAGTTTCAAGCGATATGCGCTCCTTGTACCTAAACACGCATAAACACGATCGTGCGTTTTTTTTAAAGAGTAAGAGGCAGAAAAATTCGATATATCTCGTGCATTAATGCGTGAGATCGATTAATTTAGATGTATAATTAATGCGTGAGAAATATATCTCATGCGAAGCAGTCCACAAGCAGCAGCCTACGCCTCATCTTGAGTTGGAGATAGTTTGAGCTAAGAGTTACGAAGAGGATCGACGTCTCCCAGTAAACTGAGTATAGTCCCGCGCATGGCTTGACCTTGGGCACGTGACTTCTCTTGCTTATAGCTCATGTTATGACGTGAAACTGTCACCAACACATCAGAACATATGTTCAGCAACCAGGTTAGCGCTGCGGTGCGACGATCTGCATATTTTATAAGTAGCGGTTCTTACTATATTCGAGTCACGCATGAATTTAGTACTGCTGAGCCATACGCGTATATACACGGTCGTCCTTTATGAAAGGGAACACGCAGCGCCTGTTTTCAGCACCAACAACTGACAGCCAAAGAAAGCACGTCTGCCTTCGGTGTCATCGCCGTTTCGAGACCCGAACCGAACCGTAGTCGAGCAGCACTTGTCCGCCGGTCGTGACTCGTTACTTCGTTACCCGATGTACAACGTCGAACGCGGGCGTGATTTCTTTAGCTATCGGTCGGTGGTGCTGTGACGCAGCCGCCGCAGAACGCAGTCCACGCACTCACACGTTCTCTTTCATACTATAGATCTAGTTCACTATACCCTATCTGGTTTACTATACTTTCATCAAGGACGACAGTGTACGTATGTGAAGCTTATCATATTGTCACAAGATTAGATAGCAAACAGTGTAGCCACTGTTGCGGTGGCCATAGCATGACGTTTCTAGTTTGAAGCGCTGGCGTGGCTTTGTGGTAGCACACTTTGCTATGCAGAATTCCTGCCTTCGATACAGGCTCGAGCCGCGAGTTTTAGCCACTTCGTCTATCGTAATTTTTTTCCCTTATCGGCCACGCCACCGTCGGCATGATTTTGTGCATGATCATGTCATAGGCTCCTTAACACTGTCACGTTAAAATCTCGCGCGTATTCTCACTGACCCTATGTATCGACTGTGAAACACTAATATCATTCTTGCTAGGATTTGACGCTCAAAAAGCACGAAATGCTAGCGAGAGACGCCGTATAGGGCTTCGGAAATTTAGACCACCCGGAGTTCTTTAACGTCACCAAAATTTAACGTGCGCCATATATTTCAATTACTCAGATCGTCTAAGCATTGTGTACCGTATCTTTTTTTTTTTTGTCGTTACAACTTAGTAGCGCACCTGCGCGTAGTTGATTTGCTCCTCGTCGATGCAGCTGTCGTCCAGGTCCGAGTGTCTTGGAGGGAGCGAGAATTTCAGCACTGCCATGTTAGCCGCCACGCACACGCCGGCCAAGTGGCGGTGAATCCGCACCAGCTGATTGGTCAGCTGCGCCGTCTGCCTCTGCGCGATGGTGCCGGAAACAATTGAAACGTCCCCACAAGCGCGAACATATATGGCAAACACAGACAAACCACTCCATCGAATTGTATAACAGCGTCCACGTCTGTGTAGAGCGTGCGAGCAGCCGAACTTGCTCTCTCGGGCAACACCTTGCGCCGGCTGTAAGCACTGACGTGCTTACACGTCAGTGCTTAATGGCCTAGCGGACATGCTGACTTGCTTGGCAGGAGGGAGTGACAAGGCTGTTTAGGCGTGGGTTGTCACGCAGTCTAAATGCGTGAGCAGACGTAACGCCAACAGGGATGCCGTAAGCCCCCTGGGGGAGCATGCACCTTCCGTTAAACGCGCACACCTTTCAGCGTTGTCATACGTGCAAAGCAACTCAGCATGCATGTATGCTTGGCCACCCATTTTTGAACCGCAATGTGTCGCCGCGCAGAACAGGGCCAGGTGCTTGTGCACTCTACATGAACGTGGACGTATAGTTGTAGAAATCGAAAACGGGCGCCCTCGCGAGTAGCCATGGAGTTGCAAGGCCCCTAAACTACTCCGAGTTCAAATATGAAAGGGTGTTTCATCTCTCGCCATCACTGCTGTTCCTACAACCACTATTTTCTCCATTCACAAATCTTTTTCTCAGAAAACACGTCGGAAATAAGCGTCGAACGTGCCATGGTTTTACAATTTCGGTCAACGCATTATCTCAGCTTGCGCAGTAGAGAATGCACAAAACGAAGCGGAATAAATCGGCCATGCACAGTCTCATGCCGCACAGTAGTCATGCGAGTCACGCCACGAGATAATAATGCACTATTTGTCTTTACTGGGGAGTTTTCCCAATCGTTTTGGCGCCCCGATGAAACAGCGTCGACGCCATTGCGCATGCGCGAGATCACATCAGCGTTTGGGTTGTGCTTAGGGATGCTGTTTCTAGAATTTCGAGAGAGCCCTATAGCTTACTCCAAAAGCTTTGCGTCAAAAAAAAAAAAAAAACATGACAACATTCATTTATGTAGACACACTGCGCATAAATCGGCGCAGCCTCCGCCTCGTCATATTCTAGCCCGGCTTGATCGATATGGCTTCCCGCAGCACAATGGGCGCCGTACTATGCCCCAATCGTGTGGGAGCCCCAATGAAACAGCGTCGAGACCACTGCGCATGCGCGAGACCAAAAGAACGTCTCGGTTTGGCGTTGGGTATACTATAGTTCTAGAATTTACCGCGAGCCCCAAAGCCTGCCCCGAAAGCTTTACGCCAAGAATGCATGACGGCATCTACTTGTGGCGGCGACACACAGCGCACTAATTGGCGCCGAATCCACCTTATCACCTTCTAGCCCGGCGTGATTTGTCTGCACGCTGCACAAATCGTTCACCGTATTACACGATCCTCGCCGAACTCCCCGGCTTGACGCAGCCCAGCGGGCTGCCACGAAAAGTGCAGCATACCACCGTGCAGTATACACCCGGGCCATTCCAGGGCCCTCGGTTTTCTGCAGCGCCCGTCACCACGCCCAGGACCGCGTGCGCATAGCCTGGGTGAAGCCATGCTAAGCGAAGATATCGCCCGTCACTGCGACGGCCTATGAGCCTCGCCACTTCACCTTGTCTCGAAGAAGTCTTATTTTTGGCGACCTTGTGGGGACTAACGTGCCCTCAGCGCGCGCACCATCCCGGACAGGTACGTCGTCCAGCATAGTTGCCCGCGCTTTCTCTGTGCTGGCGAAGGCGCACACGTACATTCAAATTACCGTCAATCCGGACAACGTCCCGAAAACTGCAGTCAGCATCCGCTTCGGCTTGTTCCAGTTTTCTTCCATGAGCCTTGGCCTAAGAAACGGTTGAAAAACCTTTCAACGATTCATCGACGACGTCGTCCGCGGCCTCGTCTTCTGCTTCTACCTTAAAAGTTGGTCTTTTGGCGTAATGCTGAACAACACCACAGGCACCTTCGTCAGCTGTTAGGAGGTCGTCTTCAGAGACAACACCTTGAACGGTATTCATAGATTTATGTGGACTAGCTGTGCCCAGGATGTTTCCAGTGGATGTCAGATTTTGGAGGGTTTCATATTGCTTCCTGTCTCGTATTTCAAGCAGCAGGCCGCCGCTAGCCATCTTAGAGGCCTTATAGCCAGGTCCTAGTTTCTCTGTTGGGTATCTTGCTACCAAAAATGGATAGATAGTTCGGGCTTTTTTTATCAGTCTGTTCCCTATTTATTACATAATATTTTGGAAAGTGTTTTGCTCTTTGCAAAGAATGCGTTGGCTGTTTCGGTGCACAATCTTTTCAGGTTACGAATAGATTTGAAAGAGGATGCACTTAATAGAACAGGTGGTTTAAGTTCGGCAGCGGTGCCAGCCGTCCACCACCGAGCCCAACCAGGGGACGTGGCAGGGGATGCTGGGCAAATCCTGCCTTCGCCAGCTGTACAACGCAGCCATAACCTAGTATGAAATAGCCAAGACTGTACATTCACACAAGGCTAACCCTTGCCACCGGGAAAGATCGGAAGTAAACGGAAGAAAGAAGTAGAAAGAAAAGATAAAAAGTGATAGAGAAAGACGAAGATCAGGAGAGAGAGAGAGGACAGAAAAAGGCGACTGCCGATTTCCTCTGGGTGGGTCAGTCCAGGGGTGCCTTCTAAGTGAAGCCTCGGCCGAAGGGATGTGTTGCCTCCACCGGAGGGCCTTCTTAAAGGTTCAATCACCCAGCGTCGGCTCAACCCCTACTATCCCCTGTTTCCCGGACGCGGCTCAGCCACGCACGGCGAGACGTGGAAAGACCCCCCCCCCTCCCCCGTTAGCTCGAGTCCATGGTGTCGCTACGCAATAAACGCCTGCTTGCGCAACCGCACTTGTGGCGAAGACATTTCTATTACACAACCGTAAACATTAAAGATGAACTTGCCAAGAAGATGGAACTGTCGATCATCATCATACGGCTGGATGGAAAGGTGACTCGGCAAGGTTTGGTGGGACCGGTATGGTGGGTAATGAACACGATGACGTCCACGAGTCTGTAAAGATGAAAAGCCACGTATACGTTTACTTTGCCACCCTAAGCTCGCAATAATAATAAAAAACTCCCAAGCATTTCCCCGAGGGTGAACATGGTTAAGTGCGAATACACGGGGTGATGCTATGAGGGGTATTTATTAATTCGCACTATTATATTTATTAATCCCACTATGGTGCCTTTATGGTGTAATGGTTCCTGGGAATCGCAATTTGATCACACGGGGGAGTTTACGTTAACTCACTGGGGAATGCCAACGGATTTTAACTTTACTCCCCCTCACGACCCGCTCTCGACGGGAGACTGAGAGAGAAGGCGGGCGCGCGAGAGAGAGGGGTGCGCGCGCAGCTGCAGCGAGCGAGGAGAGCGGAGGAGCGAGCGAAGGGGGAGGGGGTATAAGGCGCGTCACCGACACCGATATCAGCGTCGCGTCCGTGGCTTATTCGGTAGAGCGTCGCGCTGCGGCCCGCCTAGTCCTCTTTCTTTTAAAGATAGAGAGAAGACTGCGGACGCCGCCGACGGCGGTGGATGGTTTGGGGTCGCTTATAAAGTGTATTCACACTTAAAAAAAAAAACATCTCAGACACTTACGGAGCAAATCGATTTAGAATGAGTGGGTCGTCGGTGCGTGGAATACCCAACACGATGAGCTGTCTCACAGTGCTCATGTTGTTCTGAAACGAGCAAAGATAAAAAAGCCCATGGTTATAAAATGCACATTGTTTTACTGATATGAACAATTGATTTGTCGATTTAGACGCATTTCACAGGTAAAGGAAACTATCCATATTTAAGAGGAAAATACTGACCATAACAATGCAGGATTTCAACTCGAAACTAGTGGGGGAAAATTGCAATACCATGGAATTATTAAGAGACGACACAGTGGAGGACGCCGTTTTAAATACTGACCTTCTAGAGCTTCCTTGAGGTGTATATGAATAAAATTACACGGATGTTATTGCATTTTGCCCCCCAAGTAAATGTGGCATTTTGACCGGAAACCAAATAACGAAGATTTGCAGTTAGAAATGTAGAAACTAGGGGTGTGCGGATATTCGAACCTTGTTACAACTGTTGTGGTTTAATGTCCCAAAAGCACCATATTATTATGAGAGACGCCGTAGTGAAGGCCATCGGAAATCTCGCCCACATGGGGTTCTTTAACGTGCACTTAAATCCAAGCTCAAATATCTCAATCATTTTCGCCTCCAGCGAAAATGAGGCCTTCGCGGCCGGCATTCGATCTCTCGGCCTGCACAAAAACTTTATTCAAATTCACTTCGCACAAAAAAATGTTTACTCTTCGCACAGCTCTAATTATATCTCCAAAAAGTAAGCAAAACAATAAGACGCAGAGAAAAAGTACAGAAAACAAACATGAGAACAGAAGATTTGTTTGTGTTGCCTTTCTTGTTGTCACAACATTTTTTGAACTGTTATGTATTTAAGCCTGAGTCTACGACAACAGCTCGGATGGTCTAACTTCCTGGAGCCATTCACTGCGGCACCTTATCGTGAAATCCTAGATATTATTTTCAAGAGTTACTTCATTAAAAAAAACCAATATACACAGACGAAGGAAAAGGTGCAGAACACAAAGTCTGCCAACAGAAGAATAATTTATTATGTCTATATTTTTCTTTCGACGCCGTGTGGTGTGTTGTTTTGTGCTTACATTCGGGTCCGTACCAAGAACTCAAGCTTCACGACTAACAGTTATTCGGCCGTTGTTTTGGTCTTGCACAAAATGCAGGACTCACACATTCGAGTGTATAAGTTTCATTTTTCTATTCCTGTATAATACGGATACAATTTTGGATGTCTTTGGCATTTTGTCTTCAAAGGCGATGCACAGAACATTTCCCAGTGCATGAAGGGAAATGTTTTTTTTTTTAGTTGGCGAGGCGATCGGCTGCAATGCTTCAGACGTCGTCAGGGCGAAGCATCTGCGGGACTTCTTGTAGTATCTGACTTTTAATGTTTAAAAAAGTCACAGCTTTGCCACAAAGGCAAAGCAATGAACACGATAGCAAACCATTGGAAGGTCACGCACAGAATGACAACCAGATTGAAACGTGCCCCACGTTTCTTACTCACAAAGGACGCACGAAACGTTCTCACAGGAATAGATGAACGCGAATAAACGTCTCAGTTGTTAATTCGCTGTGTCTGAAAAGCACGCCCTTTTTGCAAACGGAGGCTGTGCAACAGTTTCAGTGACCTTTGTGCGCCCGGTAACTACAACAGAATCGTTGTGACGAAACTCAAAGGCTAGCCAAGATGTACGATTCTCGCCACAGCAAGAAAAGGGCGCGCGATCAAGCGTACACCCTCTTATTCTCTACGCGGGCCAAAGTATATACGTGTGAGCGATGAGAGCCGCCACGCGCTCACTGCGCCATTTTGCTTATAATGCTAAAAACATGATATTCCACCCCCCACCCCCCGAGATGCCCGCCAACAGCGGTAAGAGGTAGATACGAATAGCTTGCCGTTTGAACGTTGAAGGAGGTACCTTTCGGTGGTTAACGCCTTGCATTCACGACGAGGAGGTGCCACGTTCGATTCAGCGCGCCGCAGTCTTTTTTTTTTCTGGGATTTTTTTTCTTTCTTGAATTTTCATATATATAGACACGTATACATATACATTGCATGACGCAGACGCCGAAATCCAGCCGAGAGTGTCCATATAATTGCTATCGTAATAAAATAAAAAATAGTCATCGCCGATGGATGGCGTATATACCAGTGCCCGGATGGATGGCTCGGCGCGCTGCAGTGCGCTGAAGTTGAGAGCAAGGAAAGCTACGCCGTGAAGCGCGTAGTCGTGACACCACGACGCCACCGAGCGAGCGAAGCGACCAGGGAACAGGTGATCCTTGGCCCAGGGAACCCTGAAGCCGACGTCGTCGAATGCGCCCACTAGCCGAGAAGTGACGTCACGCTTGCTCAGCTCCACAAAGTCGCGAAACGATGAGGCTGCAGCAGCGAGGTGCCCGACGGCGGTTAACACCAGCTATCTAATTTAGATTTGTACAATGGCTAACAGTATCTGCACATTAGTTGTACCGTTATTACTTTACCGGCGTCACCATGTCATATTTTTGCATTTAGCTACTGTATAATGCACCCGTAATTATACTGTTTTCTTTGGCAATATTTGTGCAAGTTACAATGTTTCTACCCTGCTTATCAATAACAGTATTTATGTTGTGCACTAATTCATAGAAGTTTTTATACCACTGTACCTTTTGTTACGCACTTTCACGTACCGTCTCTAGGCATGACGCGGTCCGTGGTTCTGTCGTAAAACACATGCTGGTACACAGTGAGGCTACAAGCTCGCTGAGGCAGCTGGATCGGGCTCGGTGGCTTCTCGGATAAGATGCAGATCAAAAATCCTGAGAAATATATAAATGGCATCAGCATTTGAACAATAAAATGAACGCTGATTTTTCGTCACGTATGTACTGGTGAATCATGTGCTAGTAGGTTAGAAGCAAGGTGAACAACACAGAGCAAAAGTAACAATGTTTAGGCAATTGGACTTTCTTAACCATTAATTACACTCGCAATTTAGGGGAAAAGGTACGCTTAGATACTAAAAAAAGCGCCACCTTCAGCACCCGCAGGTGCATGCGCTGCTGGGCAATCTTCAACTAGCCGTCACAAGCCCTCTCTCCAGTGTGTGCAGATATCCGACAACAGAGATTAGTAATATGCAAGTGACAGCCTATTTCGCGCAGCCCCGCCGCGGTGGTCTAGTGGCTAAGGTACTCGGCTGCTGACCCGCAGGTCGCGGGTTCAAATCCCGGCTGCGGCGGCTGCATTTCCGATGGAGGCGGAAATGTCGAGGCCCGTGTGCTCAGATTTGGGTGCACGTTAAAGAACCCCAGGTGGTCAAAATTTCCGGAGCCCTCCACTACGGCGTCTCTCATAATCATATGGTGGTTTTGGGACGTTAAACCCCACTAATCAATCAATCAACCTATTTCGCGCAGCCGTTTCAACTTTTGCCATCCGCTTCAAACTACCATCATCGTCATAATCAAAGCAATCGTTTCCAATCTATATTTATCTTGCGCGAGTCGATCCCATTTTATCCTTGATAACTTTTCAATGGCGATAGTGCAACATTCTCTCCAGATAGCTCTCGTACTTCTTGGCGCACTACGGTGACGCAGCCAGTAGTTCCCGTGATGTCTACAGCGTACATGCTCTCGATTTGTCGATACACGCGAAATATGACATGTGTGTCCTGCACTGCTTTGCCATGCAGCCACCCATCCGTTCTTCTTTGTCTCGCAAGAAGCACGATCAACTGATCAAACTTCGTTTTTTGTGTGTGTTTACAACTGCGCAAGCAGTGATAACAGCATGCAGCCGAGAAGCGCGAAATTCTGGTATAGGCTCAAGCGCTTAGTGCTGATATTGTTCACGTACATTCAAGAACTAAGGGGCGAGGAGGATGCATCGTGTGTATGAAGGAGAGGAGAAGGTCACCCCCTCGTCTTTAAACGTGAGTGGCCCTTTAAAGGCCGAAACAGTGCACACACAAGCAACGAATACGATATGTTGTTCTACCTCAAAATTTCTAAGACATATGACGCCTGCTGTTACCGCATTTTGCAAAATAGTATTAATGCGTGTATCTCACCACCGTGCAGAGAAGCCTCGCCCATGCGTCCTTCGCGATGCGGAGGTGTCGCACCTGGGCGAGATAAATGGATATAAGCCATCATGTCGTGTAGTTAGGGTCAACATACATGCCACAGCTGAAGAGTATATGATTGACTGGTGGCGATTCCCCGAGCACAAATTGCCACACCCGCTTGCATCTATCGTTATGTGGCCTGGTTGTTGCGCCTGTGGAAATCCCTCGCTTCAGGTCGTACTGAGCGGTGGTAAGGTTGAAGCCAAATGAAATGTCCCAAACCTATGCGTACGACCTACTTTTATGACATAGCAACGAGGAAGAAGTGTACATACCTTCCGATGACGGCTTTGAAGTAGTAAGCTTGTGTTCTTTATCTGAAACAAAGCAATATTCAACCGCATTTAGTGGAGAGTTATGCAAATGTGTATAGGCGGTCCAGAATTCAAAATTCAGGGGCATGAAGAGCATTTTAAAAATAATAAACAGATAATATTTGGATTGAAATAAAAGATAGCTATGAGAAAGCGAGTCGAATTGTGCAGATTGTGGGGATTGAGGCTAACCCGTCACCATTGCACGGGCTTTTTTTACTATTTTTGCCGTCCACGTGTCCTAACATGACTCTTATCGATCAACAAGCTATCACGGGAAATTTTGGAGGCATATCACATAAAAAAACGGGGTATTAAGTGGGTTAGTGAAACGTCACTGAACCTGTATGCTTCAGAAACACGTTATCTAGAGAGCATGTGTCCGATAGCGTGATTAAGTAAGAGAAGGGCTGATCATGTTGCGCATGTGTCGACGAAATGCGGGTTTAGCCTGTTTCCTTAAGGAATAAACAGTTGTAAGCGAGCGCCCATGGTGTCTATGTGTGTTTCTTTCTCTGTGTGGTTGTTCATTCGGCGCAAAGTTGAGTATACTTAAGAGATGCACCAACTATCCAAACAGCGAGTTCTACATGACTATTCTCCTCCGGGGTCCGTCGCTGCCGGGAGAGCTGGAGTGACGTTAACACCTCTCACCCCGAACCGAACGCTGCGTGCTCTCACAATCAGTGACCACAGCACCCGATCACTCGAGCTAGGGTAAACGCATTGACTTCTATAGGTAGTACTCGGCGCAATATGACCACGCATGAACACGCCACACCGCTGCTCGATAGTGCTTGGAAGAGCAACGAAAGATGAGCGTTCGCCGCTGGCGCAAGGCGTCGTTGGCGAACTCCGTCCGAACGAGCCACAAGAACAAATGAACCGACGGACGGGAAAGAAAAGACGTGCTTATCGTTCGCTGTCTAAAGAGATTCTTCCCCGCCACGTGCGCAAAACGTTTCGGGAGATTCGAGCGCAGCGCCACAGTCGACATCCGGTTCTACTGGAGAGAGGTCAACGTCACTCCCGCTCTCCAAACACTGACGGGCCGCGGAGGAGGGAAGAGTCGTGTTATAGGACATGTGGACGGCAAAAATAGGCGAAAAAGCCCGCGTAATGGCGGCGGGCTAGCCTCAATTCCCACAAGATAAAATTGAGCATGTCAATCACTGCGAGTGCACCAATCACTTCTGCGTCAGAAAACCTTAACCACTGATTAACAACGCACACGTACGGACATTGAAATTATATGAGCTGACCATGCAATGCCGAAGCCAACTCGGTCAGTCGGGAGCTGGAGTGATTCAGGGCAACGCACGCGTTGCGACCTCCATCGTACTCCACGTGAAACGCAGCCACACAGGCCTCGGCGCCGAGTAGGTCTACGATCCGTTGCGCCTGCGCGGGAGCAAAAGAAATACGACGAACCTTCATGACCTATTCTGTCGAGGGCATGATTTAGGCGAGTTACCGTCGTAAGACATGTTCGTAGCAAGTCGTAAGTTATGCGAAACATATCACTTCACAATAGTGCCTTCGCAAACAGTGATAGTTTGGTGCTGCATACAGCACAACAATGAGTTAAAACTATTATATAGGAAATTTTTGTGAAGTCAGGAGATTTCTGACGCTATTGCATAAGAATATACAGTCATCAGCCTACTTAGGTAAATTGTGGTAAGAATCTTCAGTGTTGAGTTATATCCAGTGTTGAGCTATATGCAGTGTTGAGTTATATCCAGCCTCGGCTACTTCATTCTACCTAACAACAATAAATTAATTCATTTGATCAATTCATATAACGCTCGAGCGCATTAATCTGCACTTCTTCAACTTTGGCGAACATTATTTTAGTCTTATGGCTAGACGGCAATCTGACCTATGCGCTTCATTATCTATGGAACTCCACCTCTGTCCTCTGTGCAGCTTCAACCAGACCACTAGTTACCCGAGTTTTCACCGTTATCCATATTTACGTTGAGATACGGTCCAGATACAACAAATAGAGCCAACATTTCTGTACCTTTAAGTGGAGCGACTCTTCATTTTCGAACGTGAAAGCGTAGTTATTGTCATGCTTTACGACGGCCATGGACTCCGCATCGTACGTCGCCGTCGACTCTCCTTCAAGGCAGATCTGCAAAAATAATAAAATATTAAACGCAGATTAAATGAAGGACTTTTAAAAACAAGGACCAGTCAGCTTTTCCGTTAGCACATTCTGGAGTTGACCCGGAACCTGCAATGACGCTCTTAAAAGGCCAATTTTCACAACACGAGTCATTCATTATGATGACAGATTACCGTGATATGAATATTTGCAATCAGTACTGCAAATATTTACAAAACTATACCAAATAGACAACTTCTATAACTAAAGTTATTCAATCCGCCTACGAGCATTCTCGAGCATGTGTTCACGACTGTAATAAGAGAATGAGCTGGTTGCGTCACGTAGTGCATACGATGACAAGTCTACACACCAGGACGTTTACCCCTTGCGACGTACCATAAGCAGAATGACAGGAGAGACAACGAAAGCAAGTCTAACACTCTATATAAGTTTTTGAACACATTATCGCTATTATCGAGCAGTATTTCCTTACCAGAGCCGGTCGCACTGACGCGTGCAAAAGCAACATCGTGGAGAGGATAGATGAATGCTATGAGTGCCCTCTTTACCACGATGTAGTGGCATGTTTGCCACCGGGGCTCGGAAAAAAAAAACTTTTATCTTCTCTATTTTTTTAAGTGGACGACTGCCTTGTCTTCTTAGATCAAGTATCTTCCAACAGGGAAAAAAAAAACGCAAATTCACACTCCTTACGGGACGGCACAATGTTCTTATTTTCTCTGCCATTTCTGTCCGCACAAGAAGTGCCACCTAGAGGCCGAGTGTATATGTAAAAAATCACGGCATATCCACGCATATCCAGGCACGGCATATCCAGGCAAAAGTCGGATGTATGCACTAAGGGACAAAGAAGGCAAAATAACTACCAATATGGATAGGATAGTTAAAATAGCGGAGGAGTTTTACAGAGATCTGTACAGTAGCCGAGACAACCACGACCTTAATACTATAAGAACTAGCAGTAACCCAGATGACACCCCACCAGTAATGATAGAAGAAGTCAGAAAAGCTTTGGAGAGCATGCAAAGAGGCAAAACTGCTGGTGAGGATCAGGTAACATCACATCTGCTGAAAGATGGAGGACAGATTGTGTTAGAAAAACTAGCCACCCTGTTTACGAGGTGTCTCCTGACGGGAAGGGTACCAGAGTCTTGGAAGAACGCTAACATCATCTTAATACATAAGAAAGGAGATAACAAGGACTTGAAGAATTACAGGCCGATCAGCTTGCTCTCTGTAGTATACAAGCTATTTACAAAGGTAATTGCTAACAGAGTAAAGAAAACATTAGAATTCAAGCAACCAAAGTAACAAGCAGGATTTCGAACAGGCTGCTCAACAATTGACCACATTCATACTATCAATCAGGTAATAGAGAAATGCTCAGAGTATAACCAACCATTATACATAGCCTTCATAGATTACGAGAAGGCGTTTGATTCAGTAGAAATATCAGCCGTCATGCAGACACTGCGGAATCAGGGCGTAGATGAAGTATATATAAACATTCTGGAAGAAATCTACAGGGGATCAACTGCTGCCATAGTGCTTCATAAAGAAAGCAACAGAATACCAATCAAGAAGGGTGTAAGGCAGGGGGACACAATCTCCCCAATGCTATTTACCGCGTGCTTACAGGAGGTTTTCAGAAGCCTAGAATGGAAACAGTTAGGGATAAGAGTCAATGGAGAATACCTTAGTAACCTGCGCTTCGCCGATGACATTGCATTGCTGAGTAACTCAGGGGATGAATTGCAACTCATGATTACGGAGTTAGACAAGGAGAGCAGAAAGGTGGGTCTTAAAATTAATCTGCAGAAAACGAAAGTAATGTATAACAACCTCGGAAAGGAGCAGCGCTTCGAGATAGGTAATAGTGCACTTGAAGTTGTAAAAGACTATGTCTACTTAGGGCAGGTAATAACCGCAGAGCCTAACCACGAGATTGAAGTAACTAGAAGAATAAATAAGAATGGGGTGGAGCACATTCGGCAAGCACTCTCAAATTATGACAGGTAGATTGCCACTATCCCTTAAGAGGAAGGTATATA